ATGAATACCTATTTTTGGAACCTTAGCTCCAAAGAACACTTATTAGAAAAATCATTCGAATTGCAATTCGTTAATTAAAAAAAGCAGTGCCATTTTTTTTTGCTATTTAGGGACATAGTAATAACTTTTATCCTCCACTGAGTCATAAAAATTGTGATGTTATTTGATGAAATTATAAAGAGCTCTATTTTCTCATATTAGCTCTTTCCCTACTGTATCTAAATCAGAATATTCCCCAGGTGTTAAATAAAATTTATATTTATATACAACCTTTTGGACGAACAGTCAAATATAATATACAGTAACTAAATCTTCAACTCTTAGTAAATTTTCATAAAATGAAGTGCATTATAATTAAGCTAAGCTCGCAATACAAAAATTTATTAAAAAACTCACTTCCATCCGTGACAATGCATCCGGGAAGCACTGCCGTGCCCAGGATTCGAACCTGGGTTACTACGGCCACAACGTAGGGTCCTAACCACTAGACGATCACGGCTATTGGAAGCTTGCTACCAATTCAAATTAGTTTTTACCACAAGCCATGTAAAACCAGATTTGTGTATGATCGCCTATATATTATTTATATACCATATTTGAGTACACAAGCGTATGTATTAACTTTCGGTCAATGAAAATACTTGCATACAGGCAATTAGGCCGTAAGTAGAGCACAAAACAAACTCGAGAAACAGCAGGCGGCACAAGAAAATGGTATTAGACAAACTATAACAAAACCATACAAAAAGCTTTTGAAAGTAAAAAACAAAAGCAAGCAAACATAAGCACTCATGCTGCATAAGTCATCAATATTTTTCGAACTATCGACATACTGATATGAAGGCCTAAACAATGCACCATGTGATAATTGAAGGAAAATCAATACAAATATGCATAACCTAAGCTTAGAATCGCTACCAGATGTGGCCACCTGGAATTATTTTAACTCTAGCGACAATATTGATGATCAAATATGGCTCTGCTGAAATTCTTTTTCATTTACTACCGTTATATTCTCCCAACTTATATTCACCAAATAAAATCCTCTAACAATAAGGGGTTCCTCCAGTCTTCTCACAACTGAAATTCCTACAAATCACTTAGCTACTTTTAATCATTTTATGCTCAAATTCCTGGAAAATGAATATTAGACATGCGGTGAATCTGAAGTATGCGCCAATGCCATCAATCAAAAGGCCATCAACAGCTTTCAGACGCTAACGCCGACGTAGGTGTTAATTTGCACAAATGTGCGCTAACTATATTGTCTGGGGCAACACCTCGTTAAGTGGTTAGGGAGAAAAAAATTTAAAGAAATAAATGAAAATAAATATAAATGAATCTAAAATAAGAATAAAAAAAACCTTATAACTGAACATAAAATACACAAAAAATGGGAGCACAAAAAACGGCTGACGCTAATTAACAACAAAAGTATCGCAGAGGTGGAAGGCGGTGTCATATTACGCGCAGGCGCACAAAGCGTCTCATCAAACGAACAAGAAAGGAGTGACTCAAGAACAAAAAGGTGTTGAAGTTAACACCAGCAACCAGAATGGGAAATAAGCATGCAACAATACCGAAGAGATGGCAGATATGGTATTTAGGCGAATTTCTTTTATTTTTCTTATTATTTTTCTAATTTATTTTTATGCCCTGAACAGTGTAGATTAAGTTTGCTATGGAGTATGTAATAACCAAGAAGAGATGTCGAAGTTCATATATAGTGTATAAAGGATAATCCTGTCGAGCTAAGCCATATACATACTTTCAAACTGGCCGATCCACCTCAAGTCGTTCTATGGAAAATGAAGTAGCCTTCACAAAATTTGGCATGGACTATTGTTCAATGCATCGCTATAGTTTCTGAAGAAATTGTGCACATCCAACCATAGCATACAGCTGTCATACAAATTGAACGATCGGAATCAAATGCTTATATGAAAAACTTTTTAATTTGACGAGATATCTTCACGAAATTTGGCATGAGTAATTGTCAAAAGCAACGATACAATCTTCGAAGAAATTGCTCAGATCGAATCACTGTAGCATATAGCTTTCATACAAACTGAACTCTCAGAATCAAGTGATTGTGTGAAAAAGTTTTTTGCATGAGAAGCAATCTTCCCGAAATTTGGCACGCTTGGTTATCCAAGGCAACGGAAAAAATTCCGAAGAAATTGTTCAGATCGAATCACTGTAGCATAAAGCTGCCATACAAACTTCGATCAAAATCAATCTCTTTTTAAACTTTTTTTTTTGTGTTTGTGAAGGGTATAAAAACTCCAGGGCAGCTAAAATTTAGTTTTTTTTTAATTATTTATTTGTTGTTGTCTTTTTTTTTTAATTTTTGCTTGCGAACTGTCTACATGCTGCCTAACGTACCAATCAAATCCTATTAGTGCCAACTTTTAAGCAGATTTATGTTGCGGCAAGTAGCATGCGTTGCCTGCATACAATGTTCGTTATACATAAATGCGTGTACGCACGTATGTGTGTGTGTGTGTTTATGTCTCTAAATTCAACTTGTTGACTTGTAGATTCCAATTAAGCGTCTCAAATACGCAGCTTGAGCCTCTTAAAAAGCCATTAATCACCCGTTTAACTATGTTCTAAAGTGCTAAATATCGGCGAGTCCACGAAAAGACAACACATACAAGAGCAACAACAAAAGTCACAACAACAACTCCACATATACAAATTAATTCAGCAAGGCAGAGCTGGGTTTGCTGGCAAAATCGCACGAAAAAAATTTAGCAACAGCTAAAACAAAAAAAAAAAAAAACATTGCTAAACACACACGAGACCAACTGTGCTGACAACAGCAATAGCAACAACAACAAAACGGCAGTTTGCGCAGCAAGTTGTTGCAAAAAGGTGCGAACTACTTCGCACGTTCTTGACTTGTTTTTTTTTTTTTTTTGTTTTTTTTGCTTAGCTGGCCTACCCTTTCTTGCTGTTGTTTTTATTGTTGACTTTTTTCTATGAAATTCACACCTTGCTGCCAAATCATTGCCACACGAACCGGCATACTAGCGTATGCATGAAAAAACAACAACGAACAGGCGAATTTCGGAGCTGGAAGAACATTTAAATGAATGAGCGCAAAATCACTCACAGACCGCTGCAATGCCAAAATATAATTTATTATAAGCAAATGCGTACCTATACACACACTCATGCACTTTTATGAATAACATGGCTAACTCACGAGCGTTTGGTTAATTTGCCGGGCTCATCAGCCAGCATGAGTTGAGTAGGCGCAGACGGGCTCGCTGACTTGTGTTTGCACTAAATTTGCAACACGCAACACGCCTGCCACTCACGCACTCACGCCAAGCGCCATATGTGGCATGCAACGCATGGCGCCTAAAAAGTGTTATATTTTATTAGTTGGACGTTTGCACGCAGACACGCTTCCATATAATTATATTTGCATGTACATGTGTGTATATGTGGGTGTATGTGTGTGCGTGTAATTCACACCTATCGTAATTCTGTCGGGCGTTTAACGGTTAACAGTTTCATGGCTGTAGAGAAAAGGACTTTCGTCGCATGGTCGGCTTTTGCCAAACGGATTTCTAAGGTGTTGCCGCCTGCAGCGCCAATGTTCTTAAGTTTTTCGGCGCTTTGGTCATTAAATTCGTCAGCAATTACTCATAATGTGTGCTAGTTATTTGGCAGTGCAATAAATATTTGAAACATTGCATGATTCATTAGTATTGGTCCTACTAAATCGGCACTCATACTAAACGTTCCGGCTGCATATACTCTCGAACCAAGTAAACTCATTCAGAATATGTTCCTTTTGCTTTTTGTTGCTACCGCCTGTAAAGTTAATTTCGGATCCATAATGTTGAGATGATCACTTATTTCAGTCGTATATTTGTTCTTGGGCTTATATATTACCCTGTAAAGCTGTTGGCATTGTTCTATCTCACACAGTATTTAAAAGTTTAGAAGCTTCAAGGTGAACAAATCTAACTGTATTAATTGCCTCTTCGAGACAATTTGTCATGTCAGATCTCAAATAAGGGATTTAATATGATAAAAAGAAAACTCTCGCACTAATTTGAGTCATCTTCTGAGCGTAACCGAGTTATACTGATTTCTCGTAATTCCATGTTTGATTCCATTTGTGATGCCCAGAACTTCTAGGTATGGGTCAAATTGACCATCGGATATCAAAAACACGCCTGCAACTTTATTGATACATCTGATATCAATTCCAGTCAATTCGACGGGCTCTTAAAAAATATGGGAATCAAGATAATTCAACCTTTGGATGGCAAAAGTTGCACAGTGGAGAATAAAGTGTCTAGATGTTTAAAACTCATCTTCCTCCCGACCGTGAAGAGTCAATTCCACACCGTTTTACGTCGAAATCTTCAACTGAAACAGTACAAAATAGAGCTTGTGCAAGTTCTGAAGCTGCTAGAACCTCCCAAGCGACATCGCTTGGTCTATGGGCTCTTGAAATGTTCTAAGAAGATCCGACGTTTTCGTTTCAAGTTTTGTTCAGCGATGAGGCCCGTTTATAGTTCAATGGATATGTAAACAACTTGAAGATATTCAAGAGCTACCATTTCCTACAGGAGTGTAGTTTGTGGGTCAGTGGAATCGGTCCGTATATTTTTAAAAATGATGTCAGTGAAAACGCAACCGTCAATAACGACAATTACTACTATTAAATTAAATATTACTATTTGATACCAGAAATTGAAGCTCGTGATCTCGGCGACATTTGGTCACAATGAGGCGGTGCCACTTCCACACTTCCACTTGCTTCAATCAATGGATTTCGAATGATAATAAAATCTGCATTAAATTTGAAATTTCTGTGTATTTTTTTTATTTTTATTATTAAGTCATCATTATTATTATTAAGTATCAGTTGAAAAAATAGCACTTTTACTCGTACTTTAGTTATAATAGTTTTAATTCAGAAAATATATTCGAAACAAAGGCTATAATTTCTTTACACATCTCCTTTCTTCCAGATCTATGACGAGCAACTTTTGTAAATCTTACCTTAAAAGAATTTGAAATATGGTAAGTGAAAAACTTTAAATTGAGACACCCACACATTTTCACGCTTGCAACATGTTTTAGTAGTTTTGTTCGCCTAACGGTTGTACGTATCACCTTAAACTAATCGATATAGATATGGGGTTATATGAATATATATGGATGATCAGATCGAAGAGACAACTTGAAATCTGGGCCTGTCTATCCCTCCGTCCGTTCACCGTGCAAGCTGTAACTTGAGTAAAAATTGAGATATTTAATAAATGGATTTTTCAAAAAAAAAAACCGATTTTTCGAAAACTCACGCTGAGTCGATCTCTTAATGAAACCCAGAAAACATTTTTATAGTATGTCACTTGTTAATAGTTAATAGATAAAATTGGGTGGATACTCTTCTAACTCCCATATACTACGTGTGTATAATGATTTTCGTTTTCTTCTGCCGGATTCGTCCATCAGTGTATGAGTTATATAGAGTATATGTGTATAAAATTGCTTGGATTCCGATCCTCAGGGTAACAGTGTACACCTTAACGTATTTCCCTGCCTTAGATTCCTGTTGCAAGTTGCGAGAGTATAAGATGTTCGGTTGCATCCGATCTTAGCCCTTCCTTACTTGTTTTATATAAATTTGCGTCTATTCGTTTCAAATCTCATCCACTTGTAAGTAGTATTTCAATTTATGATATAATTCTTTCAATGCTGAGGTTATTTCAGATTGTCGGGACATATGTCCTGGGAACTCGAAAATATTTTATTATGATGGGTTTATCAAGACGAACGACGTGATCTTCAAATGAAATGTACAAAAAAATTATTATAATAAATTTCGTTTTTTATTATTGCTAATTTTGTGTGTTGGCGAAGACGTTATCCCTGAAATGAGATTCATCAGATTTTGGGTCATGCCAATATATTGAAAAAGCAGCGACTATTCTCTTAAATTAATATATTTCAACTTTTATGCTTAAATTTCTTCAATATGACAATATGGCCTAAATTTTTATTATTTATTTTATCCTCCATTTAATCGATCTTTCTGAAAATATTTCAACGCTTTTTGTTTCAGTAATAATTATTGTTTTCTACTTAAATTTGGTAAGAGGGTCTAGTTTTAGAGATAGTATCGTCACAAAACTTGGTGTGGTTATTCAAAACTTAATGCGCAGGGAAAACATTTATCATAATTATAGAAAGAATCTAAAATGGTTCTAACCTCCAAATTCTCAACATCGCTTTTTGATATATTTGAACAAAATTTGCGAATTTTTTGTAATAGTTCATAAGATTTTGATTTTAAGAAAGTTGTAAACGGTTTCACATGCTCTGATTCTGAAAGAAATCTACAATTTAAAGCAGAGATGAGAAGTGATTAAGCTTAGGCCAACTGATGGTTATCTCATATCACTAGAAACATATCCTTCATACAAATTTCTGATCAAAAATTGGATTGTGTGTGGTTTGTATATTACTTAGATTTTTGCTGATATTGATAAGCCCTCTTATATGTATGTCTGTGTGTATGTATAGAAAGATATTAGTTTCTCGGCAAATACTTGAAATTTTGCATTTCCGCATTTCTCACAAAAGATTCACACAGTTAAGTCAATATTTGGACCAACCAAAGTCAGCAAGTAAGGAACGACTTAAACAGAACCATAACAAAGAGTCGAAAAATCCAAAAAAAAAAAAATAATTATTTAAGCTGAAAAAGGCAACGTTATCAAATTACCGACATGTGATTATATATGTGCCCGTATGAGTCTATATATGCTTTTTTATATGTATGTATGTACATATGTAAGTGCATATGTCCGATTTTTATCAACCATATGAGTAAGCGGCTTTTGGAAGAGAGTAAGTCACTGAGAAACAATAGAAAAGTGATTATCGGTTTGAATATGCATACATATGTACATGGATATGTATATATGCTATGATTATTTGCAAACATATACATATTTATACCTGTGTATAAGCATGCATTTCCACATGACCTGACCGCATTACAAATATCCTGCGACCACAACTCGACCATTTAAGTCCAACGCAAATAGCCTAATCGCTTGCACAAACAACACAAAGCGGCCCAACAAAAGCAAATGTAAATTTGATTTCCCTACAACAACAGCAACTTAAAGACAGGAAGTAAAGTTGTTGGCTACTGTTGTTGAGCTCGATGCAGCCGCGCCACCAGTGAGCTACTTTTCGTTGGCCTAAATGGGCTAGCTCACGCCTTGCAACGCGCAGAGGCAGCGCGGCCGTACAGTGCCACTCAAAGGAGGCGAGTTGCTAAGAACATGTGAAAATAAACACTCATTTTTTTCGCTTATCCCAGCAGCTACTATGAAATCGCACCTCGATTTTACCGCAGAATTTTGATAAATCTCAGCGATTAGACAGGGCCGATAGTTAGCGGCGGCGCGGGAGTGCGCTTGTGTGCATATCTATGTAAATGTGTGTGTGTGTGTGTGTGTGTGTGAGTAGCTACGCTTGCGCGCAGCCACTGCTTTGATGTTCCGCCAGTTACTTTTTAGAATAGAAAATTTGCTGGCCACAACAATTTTGCATAATTCCTGCCATTGTCCGAAGGTTCCATATATTCGTATGGTTGTTTGCAGATTGGAGGCTGCAAGTAGTCGCGTCTAATAGCTTCTGCAATTGGTTTGCAATTTTCTTGTACTTTGATTTTATGCCACAGATACGCAGTCGTTAGACCAAGTATTTACACAACGATTATTATTCGAAGGGGATTGACAAAAGTTCGTTTTGGTAGATATTTTTAAAACTGGTTGAACTGGGCTGGAATAAATTTGTTTGCAAATAAATTTCATTAAATTTAACCACGAAATGTGGTACCAGATCTATCAGTTGCTTATCGTCTTTGAAAACTATCATTTTCACGCCGTCTTCCTGTCTAAAGACGAGGAAACAAGAGAAAATACCTAAACATCATTTGCGATCTTACCTAAGGGTATATACTACAAGTAAATGTTGTAATCAAATGAGATGATATAAATTCATCCTCTTTATTGGCATAGACACCGCTTTCTGACGAGGTCTTTCTCTTCTTCTGCTTCCCCAGCGGGTGCTGAATACTCTCAGAGCTGGGGTGTTATCATTCATTTGGACGACATGACTTAACCAGCGTAGCCGCTGTCCTAAATTCGCTGAACTATCGTTGCCTATGCTGATCGCATTCTTCTTCTGTCGGTTCATCTCTGCTTACACAACTGCGAGGATTTTTTGGGCGCTACAAAGCTGTTGTAGAAAAGATGCAGTAGGCCTTTCATGGATGGATCGAAGTTAGATGAAGGATTGATGGTGAAGTCTTCTGTCAGCAGTTCCCCATCCATACTACCTGCAATCTACTGTAGCGTGCGTCTTTCTAGCGGAGGTGGTCGATGTTCTGACTGGACACTTGGCCTTCTTTTGCCACGTTGACTTAAATTTTTCGGTATACTCACCTTCGGCGAACCTAGCAAACTGGCTGTCTTGAAAAATTGTTTGGTAAACTCAAAACGCTTCGCTCATTTGGATATTCAGATCCAAGAGATGTGGATTATGACAAGAAATCAATCCAACCTCTTTCAATGCTATGTATAAATATTTGTATGATCTAAAAATGTTGAGCGAATCAATGAAATCCTTCCTGTATTGATTGTCATCGAAGTCATCTAGCTCAAGAATTTTTCGACTAGGAGGAGAAGGGTTCGCTGGGAACTCATGAACGCATGAACCCTGTATACACATTTGGTATGTCGGAGTCAGTTCTGAATAAGTTTGAGTTTTACCTGCTACGGCATCCAGAACGAAGATAACGAAGTTGCGCCAGGGTCTCGGCGAAATTCGAGCTTTTTGTCTTTTATGGGCGGCTGTTTGACTCCTAGTAGGGAGTCGGTGAAGGTGTTGATGGCTCCACTGTGAATGTTGCGTCCGAAGTCTGGTCGGCGTACTGTTCACTTTCGGCGACCTAATCAAGGAAATATTTTTTGAAGGTTCCTAATAAGCGATTTCGCTTCAAGCAGACGACTGCAAAGTTGGCTTCTGCGAAAACATCCCGATTGAAACTGCTTGGGGAGGAGCTCATTTTATTCCTTAATCGTAAGCTCGCGTTCCTAGCTGTGCAAGTATTCAACCGGAGACATCAAGAGGCATCCTGTAATAGGTCAGAAAAGACTGTCTGAAGCTTCTTCGTCTGGACTATATCAATGCGGCGTAATTTACTATCGCAATTCTCATGACAACCTCTTATATGTTATTGGAAATTATACTGACTTTATCCAGTCAAGAGCTGTTACTACTCGATCCAACTCTGTTTGGAACGGTTAGTTCTAGGTTAAGTATTTTTTTGTATAATTTGGCATTCTGTTATTTTGTGGTCATAATTCTTTTCTACTCCTGTAATTCTTTACATAGACAACCACGTAGACATTCCGTACACTGTAAAATAGGCGAACTCTCGGTCGTCCATCCTCGTATTGCCGGTGGCACATTTTTATGAAAACAGAAGCTGCCTTTTACATTTGAATCACGATAAGACAACACAACTGCCAACCTCCCAGCTAACCGGGCGATTCTGCGCCATGGTATCAGCGGCGAGTGGCAACGGCGGTCACTTCATAGCCACAAATGAAATCAATTAAATTTTATTTCTTCCTTTTTCCACCTATCGCCATGAAATGATAGAGATAATGAAACGTTTTTCCACTTTTTTGTGGCGATAAACGGCAACTTAGTTGCCACAGAGCCCATGGAGAGCGCGAGGGAGACGGACAAGAGGCGTTTGGCGCATTTGCATTTTAACTATTGTTGCAAGGGAATACAACAAACACAGCCAAACATACATATAAACAGTGATTTGCCGTGCACATAATGGATATGTGTTGCTGCGCATGCGCCAATCTGCCCCATAAAAGCAACACATTTTACGAGCTACCAAATTACTTCATTTTCAAGCTTGCAAATACGAGCATAGAAATACAACAACAATTTAGAATGTTTGTATGCATTCCCTAGTGTCC